ACAACAACACTTAAAAAAGTTCTAGTCAGGTCCGCCATCTTGGAAAATCAAATATAAAATTTAAAACTACTGGGTTTAATTTGACTCATTTATTTCTTGTCTCTAGTGAAATATTAGACTTGCCCCAAGTCGATCTCTCTTGTTTTCCCGGCGTTTTTTTAATTTGAGCGAAGCGAGAACCTGTGTAAAAAAAAAAAAAAAAAAAACAAAGCGGGCGGCGGACTTTGCGAAAGTCTAGTGGAATATTCATTTGCTGAATCGCAGGATTTCAATAAAATTCTTTCTGGTTGACAGCACATTGTGGTCAGTATTTGATCTCCATTTGAAGCAGATATTGAAATTCAAAGACTTTTATCAGCGGACTGAAACCCAGCAATCTGATATTGTAATAAAGATCAGATATAGATCTTATTAGACATTTCAGGGGGGGGGGGGGGCGTTGCTAAAGCAAGAAACAACGAAACACTATGCTAATGGCACGGCTCACGACGACCAAGGACAGCCAAGGAACCATGAGCTTGTCCAGTCGATAGAAATTATCTATCTATCTCTATATATATACACACTTATTTCAATAAAGTTTGTCACCTGAAAAGCTACAAAGCTGAGGTCGACAAGGATTATGGTTAGATTCATTTTACACGTTCAACCGCTTGATATCTGTTCATGGACTTGCGAATCTTTTATCGGTTACAGTCACACCTCTTCTGAGCATCATCGAGCTGTAGTTTGTATTTAAAAAAGCTTTGCTTGTTTGATATAAAAAGTTTCCCATCATGCTCAGTGATCTCAGCTTTCCAGGTTTTTGGTGACTAACTTTATTGAAATAAGTATATACACTTGATTGCAAAAAGGTTGTAGTATACATTTATATATATATGTAATGAGATGCAAGATATGATATCAAATGAGATACGAAAATTAAAAAAGTAAATTATTTGGTCTTATTCATCTTCTATTGTATCAGAGACATAAGTATTACACAAAGTCAAGTTAAAAAGTATTTTCCACAAAATGTCGTGGTTAAGCAATCGTATTTAAGCATGTTTTACGTTTTGCATCTCATTTGATATCTTGCATCTCATTAGATATATGTATAAATGTATACTACAACCTTTCTGCAATCAAGTGTATACACTCAATTGAAGAATCCCCCCCCCACGCGAGCTAAAGCTCCGCTTTTTAAGCAAGTGAGATTTTGGCTGGTATGATATTTTCACGTAAAACTAAGTAAAAAAAATCAATTTTACAGTTTAATAATTTATCTATACCTATGCGTCCTATGGGACTTTTAAAAAATAAAGTATATGGTTGGTCCACTTTTTGTAAATTAGCACCCCCCCAACAAAAATCCTAGCTACGGGCCTGCATTCCATGATTAATTGTTTCTTTATCTTTCTGAAATTCAGTTCATGGGAACATGAACTCGGTGTATTTTTAAAATCTATTTATCTCTGCAAGCAGCACAAGTCGACAAATGTCATATTCACCTGTAGGTAAATACAACAGCATAAGACGCGACGTAAATTTTGAAAAATATTTAAGAATAATATCCAACCTTCAAGGGTGTGTCTGCCGCATCCCCAGTGTCTGCTTTGCGGTTAAACTCGATTGTAGTTTTCCCATTAGATTCCGTAGCACTGGTGAGCATCAAGTCTTGGGAGCCGTCTAATATTGGCTTTACTTCTGAAGTAGACCAGTAGTCCTGCGAATCATAAGAAAATATAATTTTAACTGCATGACTCAAAAATTATCGTCTATTCAGTCCTAAGAGCAAAAACCAACCCTGACTTTTTGTGCTATTTGACTAGTATTTTTTATCTCACGGTACGTCAAATGCCTTCACTCATTGCTGCTGCAAACCGCTGTTGATTGTTAAACTTCAGTGAAATGTAGACGGCGAATATGAATATGCATTGGACTCGCAATGTCTAACAAATCAACGCGAAAGTAAACACATTAAAAATACTAATATATAACCAGAAAAAATTGATCTGAGGCACAATTTATCACGAGATATTTATTTTTATTTATTTAGATGTTTATTTATCTATTAACTATAGAAATAATAATTTGAAGCGAAGGCAAGTTTCAAACGTAGTCGCATACCTTCAAATACGTTTCGTTCTCCTTCCTCACGCCTCCCAAAGCAATGTCGTAGTTTTTCATATCCTCTGCACCTTCATTGGTTGTGAACGCCAAACCTACCCAGTGGTGTTGGCGACAACTTTGAAATAAAATCTATCTTCAGTTGTGTTGGCATACCAGTGCACATCAAAAACGTCTTCTTTTAAGGTCAAGTGATTCGGATATGTGGTGCTTTCTGCACCAAAATATAAGGCTGCTATGAACACTAAGGTGACAAGAAACTTCATGGCAATCTGATTTGAAAACTGCTTCAAATTTTGTTTTTGGGTCTCAGTAGATCAAGGCAGTTATCAGTTCACACCAAAATCAATTCAGCTGAAGAGCAGAGTTTTGTTAGCTTGTAAGCTCAGTGATGCAGTGATGGGGCGTATAAAAGCAAATATCATTAATGTATTATGCAAAGAATGTGCGTGATACGGGAATATAGGTGTCCTCTATTAGTTCACAATTTATCGTAAACTAGAAAATTTCGACACGTAAATAAAGTTATTATTATTATTATTATTGTTATTATTATTATAAATAGATATATTTTTTATTGTAGGATAAATGAAGAGATAATCTATACGTCGTATATATCTATATAGATACCAAATACAATGTTTTTTTCTTAGTGAGAAATTTAATTAAATTATTATTATTATTATTATTATTATTATCATTATTATTAAAAGACCATGACCGTATCTGAGCACAGCTCATGTGCTCGCGATCTGGTACGAGGGGTTTAGAGGGAGTTTGAGAATTTCTTTGCAGTATACAATGATAAGCAAATTATCAGTAGGCTAAGCATCTGATACGGCTATGCATTTTTACTCGATCATCACTTGTATTTTGGCTCGCCTTAAGGTTTGCCAAAATATTCCGTGACTCGTGAAAATACACAGCCGTATCATCAGGCGTAACGATGACCGTTCTCAAAGCAACATGGGTAAATAGCAATCGTGTTTTTGGCATAAGCTATGACATTTGCACGATGAAGATTAGTATTCTTTATTTCTTGCTTGTGGCGAGAACCCATGATAGCAGCTGTTTTGATCTTGGTACCGCGGTTTTCGATGACTCTGCGACTCCCAGATATTTTACAGTGCGAATCGAAAAACCATGGGCACCTAGAAATACTTCTAGAATGTTTAATAGCTAATCAGAAGCGTTATTGTTATCTTTACGCTATCTTGTGGTTAGAAAGTTAATCAGTCTAAAAGAAGAATAGAACATTTCTAGGTGACAACGGTTTTTCGGTTCGCACTGTAACGTACGGAGCCCATTTAGGGCCATCGACTATTTTTTTAAAACTTGGTCGACTTTTTTTTCAGTGGTCGACTTTTTTTAAAAACTTGGTCGTCTTTTTTTTCAGTGGTCGACTTTTTTTAAAAACTTGGTCGACCTTTTTTTTCAGTGGTTGACTTTTTTAAAAAACTTGGTCGACTTTTTTTTAGCTTGGCCGACTTTTTTACAACTTTTACAACAAAAGGTTCCATTTTCTTTAGTAGGAGGACGAAAAAAAATGATATTTCCATAAAAACGCACCAAACTGGCTTCAAAATCAGCAAAACATCAAAAGATACAACAATCTATCAAGGAAAGTCATTTTTATTCTTAAAAGTACTAATTTTACACGCTACGAAATATCTCCGTTAATATTCAAATACTATAATGTCCTTTTTTTTTTGTTCACGAGGGTAGCACTTAATAGCCAGTGGCTAACAAACCTGTGGCCCTCATTCCGTGATCGAATTGGAATTTAGGAGTTGATTTTTGCGTAGGGAGGAAAACCGGAGAACCCGGCCCGGAAAACTCTCGAAGAACAGGAGAGAGCCAACAAACAAACTCCCCGGCGGGACTCGAACTCGGGTCGCATTGATGAGAGGCGGGCGCTCACACTGCTTCGCCACCCGTGCTTCCCTAATCATAACAGAACAATAGATTGGGCTGCCTGTGGCAAGGAGCGGTTGTAAAAATGTACCATTGCAACAAAATAAAATATTTAATAGGATTTAACAGTGGCATTTCCACAGAGTGGCTCTTCATTCACTGAATGTAACAGCAGTGAGGGGGAAAAGCACTTTTTCAACCAGCTGCAACACAGTTGATTAAATCGCCCCATCTTTTTGTTTGTTTGTTTGGTTTTGTCAGGTCTTTATAATGATCACCGCTGGATATACATATTGCATATCTTGAAAATTTTCCCCAGGGGTACTCCCGAGAGGCGGGGATGCTTGTCGGAATTTTTGAAAATGAATTACAATAGTACTATGTTTCTTATGCATATGTTTATGCTTATGTTGAAGTGTGAACAAGCCTTTAGTGTTACCACTCGTGGAATGCTAGAAGATATAAAGTTGATTGATTGATTGGCCCCATATGAGAATTTTTTGGTTCGATGTCTTTTACACCGAAATAAGTGCCATGGATGCCCCTTGAACTCAGAACCCCCTCTTTTAGAAAATCTGGGACCAAACTGCTACATGGAAATTAATAAATGCTTGAATGATGTTATTGACGTGGTCATCAATCATATTGTCAGGTTTTACAGTAAAACTGCAAAATAACTAGAACAGTTACGATACCGACACGAGATAAACACTCCTAATTTGTTACCTCATAATGGAAGTTTCTAAGGCCCCGTCCACACGTATCCGGAAATTTTTGTATCCGCAATTTTTTTTTTTTTTTGCGGATACGAAATTGTTCACGTCCACACGCAGCGTATTCGAATCGTTTTAAAATCGTTTTCACTGTCCACACGTATCCGGTTATTTCTTGATCCGCCCTGATGCACACTAGTGCCTAGTCCCTTTGACGGATAGTTTTTCTTATTGAGCATGCGCAAAATCGTGTTTACGTCATCGTATTCGAAAATTTGCGGATACGACCGTCCACACGTATCCGTATTCAGAGCGTATTCAAAAATTTCCACTCTGGAGACCGTTTTCGAAAATTTCCGGATACGGATACAAAAACTTTCCGGATAAGTGCGGACGGGGCCTAAAAAGACAAAATATTCAATGGAAGCGCTTTTGACATGTTTTAACATAGTTACTTACAAATGAAAGTGCGCATCATTTTGTGTATAAAAATATTAAAATGATCAAGGTAACATAAAATATTCTCCTTAATTTGCGTTGATGCCGTTGATTACCTTAATCAGGTGGGAAATCCAAAATAATCAATGAAAAATCAGCATAGAAAAGGCTGATAGCAGGTTTTTTTAAGAAACCACATTAGTGCTACATCAGAAAAGTGCCCAGTTGGAGAAGCACAATTACAACAGTTAGTGAGGGTATGTTGGTAATAGCAACAGAAGGTTCTGTAGTTCCAGTATTATTTATTGGTTTTGCTGTAGTAGACGAGCCTGGCTCACCAGTATTTCTACTATCTGAGGTTGTAGTATCACTTGGTTTTGCTGTAGTAGACGAGCTTGGTACACTAGTACTTGAACTATCTTCAAACCGTTCTCCAGTATACATGTYGTAGGCAAATMTAGTGYAATTTCTATCACTATGCTTRMCGAAGTTAGTTGGAGCTGGCGAAGGACCYWTCGCATCAGTAGGTGCAATTGCCCACATTAACCAAATTTTGGTGCCATTCTGTAGTAAGAAAACATCCACAAATTGAAAATCTCAAAATAGACCTTATTCGTGGTGTGACAATGTTTTCCCAGTTCAGCGTGACAAACCTCCAGAGGATTTATTTTCTTTTGTTTTTGTTTTTGTTTTTTTTTTATTCAAAAAATTAATGACTATCCAAAGGATGCTACGAGTTTCAAAACAATAGCTGTTTATTCCCCTAGAGGTTTGTTTGATTTTTCAATTAAAGAGTTCTTTACAAATTGATTTGCTTTAAGAAGTCTTGTGTTGAAATAAACTTCGAGTGTGTGAGTGTTTTCATCATCATTGTCGATATTTTTACTGTATTTATGTTTTGTCTCCAGGTTTCGTTGTTTTTATAGGTTCTTCGACTACTTTTATCTACAATTATTTTTGATTTTTTTTTTCTAGTCTGCGTTCTGCAGTCTGCGTTTGTCGCACACCGGAGGTTAGTCACGCCCGGGGGGTACTCCGCCAGGATTTGGGTAGGGGTGTTCCGCT